TCTGTCTGAATCGGTGCATTCTACTGCCTTTAAAAATCTTTCTAGGAAATTTAGAATGGTTGGTACAGAAACATCAAAATTTAATGTCTTGAGAACAAGGCTTTCCATTTTCAGAACCTGGAAAGAAAAAAGTAAAATATCAATTGATCACTGGAACATATTAAAATACAGTGTATGATGAACCAAAACCCTTCTACGCCATAAACGGTAAAATAATGTTTCAGTACATGGGTTCCATTACTTTGCCCACAATAAATTGAAGGTGTGTGAGTAAAATAAGGCCCAAATAATTCCCATTTGACTCAGACACATAATTTCTGCCAAGCAAATTGAAAGGGGAATCCAGCATTTCGAAAAATCCAGATGCCAGTAGTCTACTCCAACTTACAGGGCCTTTTATTGTTGAAGAAACACGAACACTAACCCACATTTATAGTTACAAAACGACGGTTTGTAAACTTCAAACCTCAACCACCGACAACAGTTGAATTAAACAAAAACGAGTTGTTTTATAAGAAACGTTCTTAAAAACCTGCAATTCTTACTTTTCTGGAGGCAAGTGTGCTGTTTCAGACCGAGATGTATGCCTGAAAGTTAAGAAAAATGAAATATGAGCGAAATGCCCTGATCAAAAACATACAAACAACTTACATTTGGCGCAACAGTTTGCTTTAACAGCTGTCAAATTTCAAATATTCGGCGGCAAAACACATCATGTCTGGCATTTATTAGAACATGTCTTTTTCTCGTGTTCACACTTAGATGCAACTGACAGTATCACCAGTATTCTCATGTAACTTTGCTCCCTGCCCCCTACACTTTTCAAACTCTTAACCTGAGAGATTTTGCTCATTACAAGTATATAAGACTTGACTTCTAGGTACAGTGGTTGTTGTAACCCTTGATGCGAGACCACAAGAGCATGCTTAGCACTTAATGGGTACATACCTGCTTGGCAGGATAGGTGTCATCTGTGATGTACACAAACTCTGATACTTCTGGTGGATAAATCTCCTCAAACTTAGACGCTATTAACATGCAAGCCGTGCCCACAAGCTGAAGCTTTTCCCTCCTGACTGACATGACCGACAGAAATCGGTCAATATAGTTAACTGTTAGATAAAGGGTCTGGGGTAGGAGTTTGTATTCTTCTGCCACTTCTACCAGCCAGTCAACAAGGATACTGCGCATGCTGTGGTTGATGTCAACTTGCTTCTTCATGTAGTGAGGCTTGGGTCTGTGTTTAATCTGCAAAGAAAGAATACAAAATAATATGGCTATCAGTCAATGCATTTGAATCATTCACTAGACGCAAATGCAAATGTTTTTTTCAAAAACGTTTGGGACTAATATTTAAATTTCATGTTTCAAGTAAATTAGTTATTGTTTTTTTTTACGAGTTGCTGGTTGGCCAACAACCAACTTTCTTGAAATGTATTGTTATTTTCTTGTGGTCCAATTGGTCAACTTTGTCCAAGGGGCCCCTGTTACCGTAGCCCCACTGCAAGGCTCCATTTGCACCAATCCTGGTAAAAAGATATGTGGTTTCAAAACTGTCCCGATTTGTGAGGATGGGACCCAAATGCATGGGGTTGTATGGAAGTCTTACTAGGTACAACTTTTAAAATTGGTCATGTGTTGAAGATGACCATTTAACACTTCTGAATATGCTTACATCTTCTGTTCTGCAAATGGTAAAAGTAGAAGGACATTTTGGGACTGACTTCAAATTTGATAGCAAAACTCACACCCCTTTGAGGGTCCTTTGAGTTTGGCAGGCATGATGGCAGAGAGCTGTTGTGATCAATTTTGTGACAGTGTCAGAGACCTCAATGACAAGTTTGTTCTTGCTGGCTGCAGGAATTGGCTGCAGTACCAGTGAACACAAATAGCCAACAAAATTCGGTGGAGGTTCTAATCCATGCAAAAAATCAATATTTTGTTGCTAGTCTTAAGTGGACTAGGGAGTCACTGAAGGATTTTGAAAGTACTTTCAGCTAGACAGTCTTCATTGCAGATTTTGCATGTCTAACAAATTGAATTAGTTTTGAAAGCTCTATTCAACTTTCTTACAACTTTATTCGAACCAATTATAAATTTAAACAGCAATACCTCTGCCTGCTTTAGATATTGAAATATCTCTGAAGCATATTCTGAGACGTAGAAGATACCACTATCAGTGTCGATGTCGCGTATTTCTGGCGTTGTTTCACTCGTGCATTCAAAGTCCTCGTCATCGCTCGAATCTATAACCATGGGAGAGTCCACTGCGAAAGAGAAAAGTGAAAACATTAACAAGCGAATAAATGAGGAACTTGACAAGAATTGGGTAAATTGGGGCTCGTAAAAAAGCTTCACTACTGTTTTACAGTTGAAAATAAAACTAAAGAACGGGCAGGTCCATTCAGTCTCCAACATTCAAAGTACATGTAAGCTTACTGTTCCACATTGTGATTCCCACACTTACCTTCCGCTGCCGTTCTGTTTGCGACGAACACATTTGTCAAAGCAGGTCGTGAAAGGGAAGTCAACGCCGGGTTGAGTTCTGGAACTGCAGAACTGGAAAACGCTGCGCTTTGAGCGCTTGCAAGCACAGGTTCCGGGTCGACATGAATAGAGAAACTTTGCTGTGCTGTTGTTGGTACAGAGAAGGCAGTCTTTTGTTGTGCACGACTGAATGCATTTTCGTCGTTCTTTGTGGCACCAAAGCCGTACAAAGAATTTGCCAGGCCAGCCTGAAATTAACGACAAAACTCGTCAAAGAAAGAACAAGCAAATAGCATAGGATATCATTTTTTTAGAAAACTCTTTGAGCGGTTTAAATGTAGTTCATTTCACTGACCTGTTTAGCAGCACGAGGCGGCTGAATTCTAACTGCGACGTTGTTTGTTATCGTTCCAAGCACAGTTCTGTTCTGTCCTTGCTGCGTCGTTCTGGCTCTTCCATCTTCCATTTTAGCTTTTTTTAACACGTTTCTTTCTTCGTTTTCTGGAAAGTTGTTGGTGATACGAAAATTTTCGCCAGTAGCTAACGACATTCCACAAGCAAAATGCGTACGGTTAAAACCAACGACTCAAAAATTCAAAAGAGAACTTAAATTACTATCCTACAACTGATATGAAATAAAATTGATAAAATGTGGCTACCAGCGCCAATATAAAATTTATCTTCTTGAATAAAAGTTAACGTTTCTGCTCCTCTGTTGTAGAGGTTGTGATGTGCAAGGCTCGCGAAGACGAACGTTTTTAGTTCTGCATTTCAAGAATCCCGCTTGTCGACTATCAGCCAATCACAGCACAGAACTGCTCATTGTCATTCGCTACATCACGAATTGCCGCTGGCTGAGCCAACTGCGGCTCTTCTTTTGCCACAAACGCCGATGTTTATCGTAAAATGAACTTGAAGTGATGGAGTCTTTTCTACGAAGGCGAAATAAAGAATCATGATAAAAAAGAAAAACTGTGGAAAACCCGGTGCCGATTCGCTGAGTTCAAATCAATTTCCTAAGTCGCCTTTCCCCGAACCGAAAAGCTTCAAAGTAGTTGACATCAAAATCCTCGGCGAACGATATTTCTGCCGACTTTCAACCTCAGCTGATATCCAAAACATCTCACCTGTTTTAATAACGTTTTTGAAAGACTGAGGTTTTCGCCGTGTGCAATGGCCTGTCCCTCGACGATTGACTTCACGTTTAATAGATTCCATTCAAGGTGTATCTTTGAAGGTGTACGCACGCGGAAGAGAAAAGCTATAGCGCCAAACAGCCCAACCTGGGGGGCTCTGGGGTACCGTAAATTTCCAAAACTAAGCCCCTCCACGTATAAGCCCCTCCAAACAGTATAAGCCCCCCAAACTCGTAACACAAAAAAAACTTGAGTGAAATCGCCCCTCCGATTATAAGCCCCCCAGGGGCTTTGTACTAGTAGAAATTGCCCTAAAATGCAAAGTAAAACAAAGCAAAAAGGGTAAATTTCCTTTCAACTATAAGCTAGCCCGATCGATTTTGAAAAGCAAATTTCTCTCCGTATATAAGCCCCTCCGAATATAAGCCCCTCAAAAAAGGCCTTTGAAAAATATAAGCCCCGGGGCTTATTTTCGGAATTTTACGGTATGTTCCCCCAGAAAATATTTAGACTTCGGGTCTTGGAAATGCTATTTCCAGCGTTTTCCGCAGGACATTTTCAGTAAATTATAATTCAAGCAAGAAAATGCATGGTTAGTTACCCTCTAGTGTTGTCGGTAAGGTACAGTGTTTTATGGAAAAAAGGCCAGTCGCGCCATCATAATCATGGAATAATAAAATGATAAAGGAAATACTAACACAAACACACCTTAGTGCGAAAAATGTATCAGCCATTCCGATTAAATGATAAAAATGCTTTTTTAGGAAACAAAAAATATATTGTTTTCCCTTAATTTAGCTGTATATGTATGCGCGGCCGCATGTCTCTGGTATGTGTGTACATGGACGCTACGCTCCAGTATTTATAATGTCAATTATTACGTACCCGCCATTTTTGTGGTTTGCCTGTTTTGTTTTCCCAGTGAATCGCTCCTTGTCTTTTCATAAATTATGCGTAAATAGGAGTATACGCACGAGACTAATACATTTGACCTAATTCACCCCTAAATGCCAGCGGGGATACCGTTTGTGACGTCATTAGTTTGAGAAGATTCATAAATTCCCTTCCTCGCATTAACATCCAATATAAAAACTCAGATCTTTTAACACCTCACAGTATTATTCAATTGACAGTGAAGTATCACAATTCAACCAACTACTGCAACAAATCAGCGGTTACATTTAGCCTGGTCTACCATGTCGCACAACACGATGGAGTCCAATTTTTAGAAAGAAAAAAACAAAACAAAACAAAACCATGATACAACAACGTTCGTAAATAGTTGAAGAAAACTTACACAACCTAGCGGAGGAATAAATTCCACAACCCATCCCTCCTTGTGCCATAAATTGTGCCATGAATATTTTTCTCTCCGCAAAAAACAAAACAAAACAAAAGAGAAGGAAAAAATATATATTACGGGCATTCTTAGGCCCGGTTCAGACGCCGAACTTGTCATGTTCCGACCCTAATGCATTGAATTAAGTACATGAAAGGTTTTCGCGTCTGAATCAATTAGGAACGCCTATTTCAAGTTGGAAAGGCTTAGCCGTTCTTTCCGCAGCCTAGCCCGGGCGGGAATTTCGACTTTGAATCGACTTTGGATCGTCTTTGATTCAGACGCTGAACTTCTTAAGTACCGAACCAAATGCATAAGTTATTATAACGAATTTTGTAAGCAATTTGACTGTGCTGAAATGAATATTTTTCTCCTTTTGAATTTGAGTTCGGCTAAACCGAGCCCGGATTTTTACTAAGGGTACTAGCGCGCGCGAGCGTTCAAATGAACGATCTGGAGAGAGGGTGAAAAGGGAGAGTGAGACTAGGGAGGGACGCGAGAGCCGCCCCTGACGGGCCGTTACTTTTCATGCCCATACTGTACCGGATATAGCAAGAGATCATAATAGGATCTCTTGCGGATAGCTTTTCGTGGCGCTACAGGCTAGGTTGACCAGCTAAAAAATGTCAACCGACATTTCGTTCACACAAAGATATTTTTATTTATGCTGATAGTGTTATCCATTTCGATCAACTTTTCTGTTACCAATGCAAGGCTACAACATCATTTCTTCTCAGTGAAAAGACAAAAGTCTTGTTTTCATCAATAGTGCCTTTTCTTCTTATATAAACATTGAACTCAAATAATAAAAGTTTAGTTGTTTAAGAAGGGATCTATTAAGAAAAGAAGATCGAAAAGAGCCGTCTATACTATTTCTTTCCACGCTAAGTACATTCACAGAGTATTTTTTCACAGTCCGAGGAAGAAATGAATGGGAAACGATCAAGACATTTCATAAACATAGCCTAATGATTTTGAGTATACGCCATACTTTCTGCTTTAAATTTTGGCAAGAGCATAATAGGCCTATTATGGCTCTTGATTTTGGATATACTAAGGTATCCAGACCTTCAGATAATTAGGGGGTGGGGCGGCGGTCATCCAGATGCTGAGATAAAGCGGGGGGGGGCGGTCTTAAAATAATTTGTTCGGCCCCTCGGGCCTCAGTTTAGTCCAAAAATAAGGGGGGGGGGTCCCCCTGACCCCTCCCCTGGATCCACCACTGTTTTTCAGCCGTAACTTCCGTCGAGTTGAATTTCAGTTTCCGAAAGTATGCGACTCGAAGCGTCAGCTGAGTTCAGCACACTTACAGTTTTCAAACAAAACAGTCGAAAGTATACAGAATCTTAAAAGTTAGAGGTGGTACTTAAAATTAATTCCTTACCAAGTTGAATTTACCTTTAGTTACACTAGGAAAAATGAAATCAAATAGGACGACTTTCTTTTAATCAAAGTTTTTATTTTTCTGTGGTATCGCTATATAGTCACATCTGATATTGTCCACTTCATGTTTGATGAGCGCAAGATATAATTTTACATACAATACTTCATTTCAAAATGACAAGCACTATGAATAACAAGCACTGTAAAAGGAAACCCAGATGTTAACCCTATATTAAGGATCTCCTAAAAAAAGGAAATATAAAATGTAGCAATAAAAAATAGAAAACGTTCATTTATATAAAGGCAAGTTTATAAAAATATATAAAAATCACAGAAATATCATTAAAAAAGTATCGAATCTCAATTCAATAAATATACCGCGTTTACGTATACCGTTTGATTATTCAGGAAACCAAATTATATTCTTGAGGGAAAAGAACTTATATTTTATAAACAGATAGGTAAATAAATAATAATTAAATAATTAATTAAAAATAAGTTGGTACTTATGGACATTAATTAAGGGTCTACTTTCCTAAAACACGATATGTAGTTTGGTCTCTGATACGGAATTCGTGAGCTTTCATCCACAAAACATTAAAACAGCACATTTCTCCATATGACATTCTGTAGACAGGATGGAAAAAAAGGCAAATTAGAAGATGTAACCAGCAGTTTCAATCGTTGCGTTTCTGATACGCCTAAACAATTAGTTCAGTTTGCGGTTTGAAATGAAACTGAATTATAAATAAATAAATAAAAACAAGTAAATTAATAAATAAATAATTTAAACGTATAACTAAATAAAGGGCCGTTCTTTTAAGCACCATCAGACACGTTATACTTCTCTGAGGATATGGAACTTTTATCCACAAGACAACTGACAGCTGCAGTCTACTGAAAAAGAATGTAAAGTTCCTCCAGAAGAGAATGATGAGAATACATCATCTGTAAAACCGAAACAAACGTCGTCAAATTTTGATTTATGAAAGAGAAGAGAAAAAGCTGTCATTGCTGTAAAAATAAGATAAAATTTTGATTTGCTGTGCATTGCTTGTTTAAAAAAAAAAAGTTTCCTGCGGAAGATAATAAAAAAGTACAGTTAGAAGCTTTAAGTTACTAAATTAAAGACTAAGATTTCCAAAGACTTAAATCAAAACAGTTTAACACAGGTAATTACCGCCTTTAGAGACGACAGATATCTCAAGTGAACAATTATTTCTTTTATCCTCGTTTCGCACAAACACCGTCCTCTTCGACACCGAACTCGACAATGTTACCATGGTAACAAAGCCTACGGCGTGAGAAAAAGGAGTGTATGAAACAAGGATAAATAACTTTCGCCCAACACGTGTCAATCAATACACGAGCAGCGAGTGATTGACATATATGTGAAGCGCGTTCTCGGGCCTTATCGGGCTGGCGTCACTTCGAATCATCGATAAAGAAGGCTTTCCTCCAAAAAATCGAACTGAGCGGCAGCGCAAGAAGTGAAAGCTTTATTCATATTTGAAGTGACCAGAAATTCTGTCCGATTACTTGCAAAAGTAATTCGTAAAATATTTTCAGGGGAACACATTTAACAACGTAAATGTTTTCCGACTCCCTGCGTTACAACTGATAACGTTCACCTAGAAAATAGTAGAGTCGTAGGTAACTAAACGAGAAAAGACAAAAGGCATAAAAAAGGATGTAAAGTTCCTCCAGAGGAGAATGATGAGAGTTAAATCATCTGTAAAACCGAAACAAACGAGAAATTAAAATAGTTAGTATTTGTACTTACGTATAAATCGTGCCGTCGGTGTTGCAATTCTACTTGATAATGACATAAGTGCAGTTGAAGACGTCACACTCTTAATGTTACTAACTGACGATGGTGGCACACCAGCTGAGGCAGAAGGGCTTGAAATCACTATCTGTGACACGCTGGTGGAGATAGAGGGGCTTCCACTCACTGACGGTGACACGCTGGTCGAGATAGAACGGCTTGTACTCACTGACGGTGACACGCTGTTGGGGATAGAAAGGCTTCCACTCACTGACGGTGACACACTGGTGGACAAGGAAGGGCTTGCACTCACTAATGGTGACGCGTTGGTCGAGATAGAAGGGCTTGTACTCACTGATGGTGATGCACTGGTCGAGAAAGAAAGACTTGTACTCACTGATGGTGACGCACTGATGGACAGAGAAGTGTTTGCACTGACTGAAGGTGACGTGCTGTTCGAGGTAGACGGACTTATAATGGCTGATGGTGACGCGCTGGTTGGGATAGAAGGCCTTGTACTCACTGATGGTGACGCGCTGGTCGAGATAGAAGGACTCATAATGGCTAATGGTGACAGGCTGGTCGAGATAGAAGGGCTTGTTCTCACTGATGGTGAGGCGCTTGTCGAGATAGTAGGACTTGTAGTCAATGACGGTGACGCGGGTGTCGAGAAAGAAGGACTTGCACTCAATGACGGTGACATACTGGTGGAGATAGAAGGACTTGTACTCACTGACGACGAGGCACTGGTCAAGATAGAATGAATGGTACTCGCTGACAGTAATACGCTACCCGAGAGAGAAAAGGTTGTACTCAATGACGGTGACGCGCTGGTCAAGATAGAAGGGCTGGTGCTCACTGGCGGTGACGCGCTGGTCGAGATAGAAGGGCTTGTACTCACCGATGGTGAGTCACCAGTGGGGAGGGAAGGACTTGTAGTTACTGACGGTGACCCGCTGGTCGAGATAGAAGGAATAGCACTCACTGAGAGTGATACGCTACCCGAGAGAGAAAGGCTTGTACTCACCGATGGTGACGCGTTGGTCGATATAGAAATTCTTGTACTCACTGATGGTGACCCATTGGTCGATATAGAAGGACTTGTACTCACTGATGTTGACGCGGTGGTCGAGATAGAAGGACTTATACTCACTGATGGTGACCCATTGGTCGAGATAGAAGGACTTGTACTCACTGATGGTAACGCGCTGGTCGATATAGAAGGGCTTGTACTGATTGACGGTGTCGTATTGGTCGAGATAGAAGGGCTATTTGTAGTTAATGACGTTGTCGTATTGGTCGAGGGAGAAGGGATTGTACCTAATGACGATGACAAGCCTATCCTCTGGGAGAAGCTCGGTGATAATGATAAGGTGATTGAGGCGAACGAGTGTACAGCACCTGAAGAGGAAAAAATCACGTTTGTTATTACGTAATAAACTACGAGAGGACATTACAGCCTCCTGTAAACCGAAAAACCGCATTAAAATTGACGATAGCATAACATCACCGTTTGAACGATTACAAGTGACAACATTCACAAATCCCACTGTCTTGTTTTTCATAAACGTAAGACTTAGTAAGACTTACGCGCTTCCTTGCAACTGAAATTATACCTGTTCACGGGCAAGCGTCATCGTCCGTCGTTCATTATATATCATATATTTGTGACTTTTAAGTCTGGTTGTTTGATCATTTTTCTCGTCGGGGTACTTACGCACGTTATTTGCAACAAAATATGGCTTAGTTGGAAGAAGAATAGAACATGAAATTCCGGAAAATTATGGAGGGAGTTAAATCAACTCATCAAAAACAAACAAACAAACATAAAGCAAAACAACAACAACAAACTAATGTTTATACCACTAACCTGGTACGCTGCTATTTGACATGCCCTTAGAGACTGGTGTTAATGCGAGTAACACAATGATAAGACATCCGAAGCTTGTTACAACCTGTTTGCTAAGAAATTATTCAAGAAAGAAAATTTGAGTTTGCAATTTTTCAATGCTGATGACAACCGGCTGCCTGGCTCCGCTATCCCCTCATAGTTATTCTAGGCAGCCGGTACTCTAATTTGATTTTCAATATTTTCATTGTTGTAATATATTTGCTGTAAAGAGAGAGAGTACAAATACAAGATTGTTTCAGTAAATTATTTGTCAAGTCATAAATTTAAAGCCTATATTTTTAAACAAACAATCAAACAGAACAGGTTCCTCCCTTAAAAAAACGTCGATAAATCTGATATGTAGGAATCAATGTAAGATTCTGGGAACCAATCCCCCCTTCCCCCTTATCCCTACCCCCATCCAAACCAACTTTAATACTACCTTTTCACTTCGGGATAAACGTAAGGTTAGGGAGGTGTAGGTGAGAAGTTTCCCAGAATTTTGTATAAGATACAAAATGACTCGCTTTTCGGAGTTCTATATAGATCTGCCGATCGATTTATCAGTCTGCGAAGTCATTGGATCATCACGCACGATGACCTGATCCTGCAGAACTTCAGCTGAAAGTAAGTCTAACGGTAATTTTTTTTCTCGTCAAAGGTAAGGTGCCCTACCATTAATTGCAAAAAAACAAAATTAGTTGCATCCAGTTAAATACCAAGTGGCTCGAGGACGCAAAATTAACAACAGACTAAAACTGGTTCAGTCAATTTCAAGGGTGTCCCCCCGGACATTGAACATTTTCCCTTCGGAGACTGGAAATGCCCCCCGGCGTCATCAGCAGTTTTCTTCTAAAAACACACCACTCGGCTCAATGTGTGCAATGTCCCACCATGGGGAACAGGGAAAGATTAACTCTTTTTGAAACAAGCTAATTAATGAAAACAAATTAAAGCAAAAGAGTTCTATCAACCGTAACATACGGAAGGGAAAGGACAATAGCAACCTGCGTGTTTTCCCGATATCATGGACAGTCAATCCGTTCTTTTTGTTCACTTTCTTACCCTCTAAGACACGAAAGAGAAGTGCGTAACTACGTCCCATCGATTTTTCTTTTTTAAGGTGGCACGTTATTTGATAAAATAATTTAACGTTTTCGCTTCTGTTTTAAATATCACATAAGATACGCAGTTTTTATATGATATCTCTTTTTATATTCCACTGACCACAAATGCACTCTAAGAATAAAGAATACTTCCCTGAATGTTAATGCAAAACTTCTTGTTTGCGGAAAAAAATACCAAGAAAAAAAATTATTTCTCTTTCCGGCAAATGCCTTCCTCGATAAAAAATCCTAGTAAGCCTTATCTGTGTTACGTAGAACTTGGTTAAAGTCGTACTTTGTTTTTCGGTGCCAGTTAACGACTTTGTCAGAAATTGTCAAAACACTTGAACAATTGATCGAGGAGTGCATTTGGTATGTGTAGAAGAAATAGTAAAATTTGTGGAAATTTGCTGGATGATTTTTAGAGTTTCGATACAGATATTTTCAACTCACAATATCTTAATGTTCTCTAGCAACAGTTTATCAGTTAATCGGCCTTACTAACCTGATGTTTCCTCGCGACATTTTCTACCAACAGACGTATCAAAACAGAGAGAGAATTTTATGTCTTTAAAGGCGTATGCAGAGAATTTAAATCGTGGCATTTAGTTAAGCATATGACGTCAAATAGTATCTGTAGTCTCTGAGCCACCACGCTTCACTAATCGAGTTAATATCTAAGATAAATACACGCAAACAACCGCACAAACAATTAAAAGATAACAACTGGTCAATACGACTTTCTGCCGAATATTCGAGGCTGTCCATCATCGACATAACTTTATTTAAAAAAAATAAAAAGAAAAAGGAAGCGGTTAAAAGAAAAAGATTCCCTCACGCCAAGTGTTTTCAAGTCGGCTTCATGCGGTGTTTTTGAAAACGGCCGCGGTTTGACGTTATGGCCATTTTGAGGTTCCAGGTAAAACTGGTTATGTTTGCCTGATGATTCACCTCAAAAATTTATGACACGAAGCATTATTTACGTTAACTATACTGCAGTATTTGTACCCCAAACGTTCGTTTTAGCGAAGGAGTACGCAAGAAGGCAGTTGAAAAGAAATGAAAAGAAAACAGTGTAAAAAAATGAAGAGGAAAACATTGCTATTGGGAAAAAACGCACTGAGTACTTGAGGGAATCATCATAAATCAAAGCAACTAGTTACGAAACTAGTTGTTGATACCGTCCACGAATTTAAACTGGAACATTTCCTTTGGTTATCTACAAAACAACACGTAATGGCATCTTGATTAACCTTGATTAAAAAAAAAGTGGACGGGTTTGAATAACCCGGAATCTACTTTACTTGGCAAGACTTGTATCACCCCTAATATATCCAATATGTCGAAACTGCCAACCTACGTAAGTTTCGAAGGAAACTTCCTTTGGATTCGCTCGGTATTTTGAAAATATTTTACCTGAAACAGACGATTTGTATGCGCTATTGCTATTTTAATAGTTTGCAGCTGGCGTCACGGCCAAGTCAATGGACAAGGGTGTTTCCCTGCTCTGGAAGGGAATGGGACTGAGCATGCAAATTCTGCTTTTTTAACCAACGTGGCCACCTCGTTAAGTGATTGATTGTTAAGGGATCGAGGTAATATTTGAGGTTTTTTCTTGGGACCAGCTGGACACGTACTCGTGGAGCCATATCAATTTAGAAAAGCATCAATCGTAAGTAGTGGATCGTAGTGACGCAAACCTTAAGAAATGCAAGTTCCTGTGGTAGACTCCGCGGTAGACTCAAAGTAATAAACAAAGGAAGAACGCGCTTCTAAGAACCTGTTAGGCTAAAATTTGCCAGTTAGGCCCCCTCTATACAAGAACCTTTTTAGCCTTAAATTTGAAACAGGTCCTTATCTTCTATAATCTAGAAAAAAATTCTGTACACTTGGGCAAATAAGTCAAAATTCAGCATCCTCTTTGGAGACACGTGTCTTATCCCTCCAACTGCAATACAATGTATGCAGATAACATATAAGGAATAAGCTGGATACCACTAAGTACTCTTAACGAAAATGTACCCAAATTACCCTTTATGTAATAAACTGCTTAGGCTAACTTAGGAAAATGCAGGTTCTTAGTCGCGTGTTTTTACTGATCTTGAAACCTGCGCCCTATCTCTCCTCCTTTTCACAGTTAATTTGCATAATTTTTCTTTTTCGCCCTCTGTACCTCGCTCCCAGGAAAGAAGGACGACCGCTCGCGGTCTAAGATTAATTACCGGTAGTGTCTGTAAGTTATCGATGAAAACGGCGTCTCATAAATCAAATAAAAGCCAAAGCAGAGGTTTAGGCTTATAATAGTGGGTACAGAGCTACACAGTTGAGATAAACTAGAGGCGCTTTTCAAAAGTCAGAACTGGCAGGCCGAACAAGACATTTTGAAAATGAAATTGGCTTTTTCCAAGAGTTTTTGATGTAACACCATCTCCTTCCCGCATATTATTTAGGATTTGAGTCATCTGGCTGGATAGTTAAAAGTAAGATTCTTCTTACGACAGGAATGGTCTGGTCGTCTGACAAATATGGAGCGCCATAAGACAAAGAGCTCAGGCAAGGCAGTTCCTTTAAAAGTACTTTGTTGTATTGTTTTTTATACTGCAAAATGACTTAAAATCAGTGGTGTAAAGGAAGTACACCCACAAAATATATTTTACACATACCTTTTCCATTATACCACTATAATATCGCTTCATTACCACACGTACGTCGAAGGCGTAAACACAACTATTAACTTTAGGTGCGTCTGGGAGGTCAGAGGACTAGATCTGCGGACAAGGATAGCTGGATTTGTTTCTCAGCAGTCCCGAGTTTACTTGTAAAGTGCATATTGCACACCGTATTACTATAACACATTTGCCTCCAACCAGTTAGGAGTTTTTCATCCTCGGACACCTAGAGGCAGTTTAATAGCGGGGGAGAGGGAACGTCTAAACGGGCGGAAGAAAGACAAAGTAGTTTGAAGAAAAACAATGAAACGGTAGGGATCGTAAGCAACAGCGACGGCCACGGAAACGTCACTTAAAAAGGGCGCTGCTTCAAACTTTATCGCGCTTACTCCATCTCCTTCAATTCATCAAATTTTGGCAAATTTTCCGGGAGATGAATTCTAAAAGACTGTATCGAAGTTCAGGAAAGAAAAAGAAAGTCGTTGTCTTGTGTTTTCGTTCCCCACAAAAAGTGAAATTTGGCACTTTTACGTTGTAGTGATAGTGATGGCAAAGAAATGTACAAAAAACGCGTGATGCACGTGCAAAGTTGTTGTTAATTTGCTAATCTAAACCAAGAGATCTTGTCTAAACCTATTGCTCTTTAGCCCTTCTCGTTGCCGTCGCCATTGTCCTTGCTTAAGCTCCCTACTTTCTGCCGCTAATTTTTAAACTTTTTATATTTCATTTGAATTTCCTCATTCTACGGCTCATCTTTGCGATAAGGAAAA